GATGGCGTAGGCTGCAGCCCCTGCTGCAGTGGGTTGCCATGGGCTACCGTGTGTAGCCAGCAGCCAGCGTGAGCGGCCAGCAGCCGCCGTGAGCGGCCATCCAGAAGCCGGCGACTGGTCTGCCTCGCCCGGGAAGAGCGCAATGATGGTGCCAACTTGGGCTGGTGAAGCAACGTCCTCTACAACTAGACTGAAGAACAAAACGACAGCAACTTGTCTGTTCCCCTTCCCCCAATTCCCCAGCGCTGTTCCCCTCCCCCAATTCCCCAATAAAAATCTTTAAAACAACAAACAAACCCTGAGAATAGAACCAAAGATTCAGTGAGTCTCTCTCACAGAAACACCATCTCTGACACAGAGGGTGATTAAAAGTGACCTAGATAACAACTGTCATCTCTGGCACATTTACTACACACGGGACTTGTTGACATCATGTTATGTCATCACAGTTCACAAAAACACAACAACATGGATATTATTGTCATGTTTCAGATATGGAAAGTGGGACTTACAGGGTTCAGTAACGCTAAGGAGTGGAGGCAGGGTGTGAACCGGAAGCCCAGGCCCTTGTGCTGTTCTGCCTCCTGCAGTCGACTGGCTGGGTTCTCGAAGGTGTAGCTAACGTTCATGTTGAATTGAACATGGGGGGAAAAGGGAGGAGAGTGGCAGGGGAAGGCGGGACTTTCGAGACAGTGTGCTCACCTGCAGCCCCACAAGCCTGTTTGTGTCCTGAGACAAGGGCAAATCGCAGTCATCTGAAAACGCAGCCGCATGGCCCAGGGCCAAGGTGGTTTCATACAGTTCTTGGATATCACCTGAATTTAGAAACACCAGGAGTTAAAATATTATTGCACTTGTTTCAGAGCTGGAAGGAGCCTTAGAGCTGAAACTAATGCCTGGTTTTGCTATGAGGTGGAAGTATGTGATCCCTGATTTCATATGGCTTGGCAATTTACTTAATAAGGATAGCTTGTATTAGTTTGCAAAGCCATTTGATATGGAGCTCTGATCAGCATTAGTCAAATTTCTTTATTTCTGTTGCTATGTAGGTACCACACCCATGCTGATCTGATGTGCGTGTGGGAGAGAGAGAAGGCAACATTTAAACCCAAAAGTTAGCTCACTTCTAAGAACGTCATAGAGAGACTATCTCCCTATGTTTGAGGGATGCAGAGAAAGGAAAGTCTACTAAGCCGTTTATCACAGATTTTGACAATCAGAGAACGGCTCTCAGAAAGTTAACTGGACTATCCAGGGAAGTGAGTATCCACCCGTTTTCAAAATATTCCTGAATTTACAATACTAAACTCCCAACTTCGATAAGCAGTCAAAAATCACTGGGCAGCTAGCTATCTAGAAAACGAAGAGAGACAGTCATTCTACTTATCAGCTCCTCCTTTTCCAAGTGGTCTTGGCAGTCGGCGAGTATACCTTGTACAATTACATCATCATCCAAATAGATGACTTTCTCATGCTGGTGGATAAGCAGAGGGAGATAAAATCGAACGAAGTTCAGCTGTTAAAACGACAAAAGAAGCCATGTTGGGGAAGAGGCGTATGACTCAGTGTCTTCCAGAGTGCTGGAGGGTCGGCTTTGACCATGGCCTCGGCCCAGCTCCAGGTTTAGAGCAGAATGAAACCGGCCACAAAGATGCCTCACTTGGCTTCTGGTGCCCGAATTATCTGGGCCCTGGGGCTGAAATCAGTGCTGGCAGATGAGCACTTCTCCTAGATCCGAACCCTCAACTGCTCAGACGGTCACCAATTTCATCTCTGTGAACGGCTACAGTGGGAGTCACAGAGGTTCCCTCGTCAATCTTTTAGGCCACAGGCTTCCTGTCTTCCTCAAATGAATACATTTGACTACTGTCAACTGAATCAGCTATACACACACACACACACACACACACACACACACACACACACACACGCATCATCCCCAACAATAAGCTCAACCTCTTAGCTCCTGGAACCAGAAAAAAGTGGGAGAAGCGCTGGCTGAGGGTGAGTTTTATTAGCCACAACAAGGCTTAATCCTAAGTCCCAGCTCAGCTCACACTCTAGTAATAAATATCTGGAATTGAGGAAAGATATATCATTAAAGGGCTTAGAATTTAGTACATTTTTAAGGATGGATTTAAATAACTATTATATGTAGAAAGTGGCCACATATTCTGTAAACCCACCATCAGTAGCACTCTTTATGCAGGAGGAGAGGGTCCCTTTTGTAAGACCTCTTACAGTAAAACACCTTAAGATTCCCAAAACTAGGAAAAAAGTGGGTGTCTCCTGAAAATATCATCTTAGTCGGTACTAGGAAGTTTATAATCCATCATTGCTTTTCCTTAGCCGCTGGGATTCTCCAAGCTAAATTTCATGTCCAATCACAGTACACACAATAGCCTGTGGGGTTGGGAACATGTCTTCCTGGCCCCACTACTTGGCCCAGACCCCCACCCCCACAGGTGTATTCACACACATAAATGCATCCTACAGGTTTTTATGCTTCATTTCCTCTTTCACATTAAACTTCATTATGCTTATGGAAACCATCTTAAATCCTTTCTGGAGCAGGTTTATAAATTACAAACACCCAGAGTTTGGTGGAAATCTAACAACTGTGAGGCTTCACAAACATTCTGTCTGCATCCCAGGGGCTAGAGCTCCATAATGAACAGATCTCACCAAGAACTGTTCCCCAGCATGTGCACGGTCCCTACTCACAGGCTGGAGCAATTCGGGCCTCGATGCGTCTGGTCTGATCTTCCCTTTGAGGACCACAGGGTTGAATTCCACAACTTTAAAATTTATTTCTCTCAGTTTAGAATGTTCGATCCATTTTCTAAAGGGATGAAAACAACAACAACAACAACAACAACAAAACGCTCTCGTACACACTTCCCAGCGTTCCTCAATGTGCCTGTTGCCTCAGAATCAATCTGTTGCCTCCTTAGAAAGTACAAAACAAAATGTTGGTAACTTTAGTAAAGTTTAGTCTACAAATCCTTCGGATTCTTTCCCCATCTGGTCTGGCTTTAAAGCTTTTTTTTTTTTTTTTTTGTTAATTCACATAACTCTGTCTGCAAAGGAAATGAAGGAAATGAAACAAAATAGTAATAACCAACTATCTCCCCAGATCTACATAGTCTCCCCAGCAAACTGTAAGAACAAAAAGTGTTCCTTCTTTCTTACAAAGCAGCATCTATGGTTGCTAGTACTCTTTGCCACATGCTAAAAGCTCGGTAATGTTATGAAGCAGGACATTCTCAACTTCCTGTGGTGACTGAAGTAAACTTTGCACTGCTATTTTGACTCCAGGGACAATTTGAATTTGCCTTTGTCTCTCAATCTTCCGCATCCGTCCTTAACCCCTGCCCTCTCCACTTACATTTTCTCAGTCTTACAGAACTTCTATTTTTAACCAATTCATAATAAGATCCTTGGTAGACATATCTCAAAATAAAATTTTCAATGACTAAAGCCACATAGGGTAGCATTTGTTGTTGATTAAAAATCTATGGAAGGAGAACTGATTCTGGGTGGTGAACACACAATGCAATATACAGATGACATATTCTAGACTTGTACATCTGAAACCTATATACTCTTACTAACCAATGTCACCCCAATAAATTTAATTTAATTTTATTATTTTTAATAAATTTAATTTTAAAAATCGACAAAACAATTAAAGCTTCCCAACAAAATTTAGATCCGCAAAATCTGAACCATAAAAAATCAGCCATTTCCTCAATGCTGAATATCAGTTACATCTCAATAAAGCTGGGGTGGCATGCGGGGGCGGGGTGGTGGGAACAGTCACGTCAATAACAAAAAGATAGACAACCCAGTTAAAAAATTAACGAAAGACTTGAACATTCATATCCAAGCGGCCACAAAATGTGTGGGGAAAAAAATGTTCAACCTCATCAGAAATAAAGGAACCTGAAATGAAAACCACAATGATCATCAGAACAGCAAAGTTAATGAGGCTGACTATACTAAGTGTTGGCGTGGCAGTTGTTTCGTGGGTGTGCTTACTTTGTGATGACTCAGCTGTACACGGGTTTTATACAGTTTTCTGTTTCTGTGTTATACTTCAATGAAAAGAGTTTTTAAAATGTTTTAAAACAAGGCGTAGTGGACTGGATAACAAAGAACTGGTATCATTCCCCACTCAAATGTGTCATATAGTCCTGAAGCTCAGGCCTTTTGTTCAAGTACAAACCTTTCCTCAGAACATATGACACACGCCATTCTTTGGGGTTTGGTTATCTGTTTCTTATACCAATAGATAATTAAAGGGTTGTTAATGGCAGGCTAAGTGAACAATCTGCAACAATAAATGATAAGAAGAGCGAGGAATGAGACAGAAAAACGAGAAAGCATATATAAGCCCTCAAAACCTACAAGCTGCCAAGAACGATTTAGGTCAGGAGCAAATGTCTTACATATCTCAGTATCTCCTAATGGTGCTATTACCCAAGAATCTAATGATAAAAGCCATATATAAGTACATTCTCATTATAAATGATGGAAATAATACTTGAAATACCTTGAACTTCCCTTCATCACTGCTTTCTCCAGTTCCTCCATTTTCCCTGGAGATAGTCACTGCAAACAGGTAAAAGACCTTTCCAGGTCTTTTTCTTTACAGAAACACATATATGTGCATGTACACATACATAGTTTGGGGGTTTTGATTTTCATTGCTATAGACTGAATGTTTGTGACCCCCTCACACACACCAAATTCATTTGTTGAAACCTAATCCCCAATGTGTTGATGTTTGGAAGTGGGGCCTTTAGGAGGTGATTAGGTCATGAGGGTGGAGCCTTCATGAATCGGATCAGTCTCCTTATAAAAGAGATCCCCAGAGAGCTCCCTCACCCTTATGTCATGGGAGGACACAGCAAGAAGGCAGTCCTCTATGAACCAGGAAGAGGGCCCTTAGCAGACATGGAATCTGCCTCCATAGATGTGAGAAATGCAGTTCTATTGTTTATAAGCCACCCAGCCTGTGGCATCCTGTTATCGCAGCCGGAATGAATTAAGACAGTCACAAAATGGATCATACTATATGAGGTATACTGAAATTTGCATTTTCCACTTAACAATCTACCTTGGGAATCTACTGTGTCAGTGTACACAAATTGCTTTCTTTCTTTTTAAATAGCTGGGTCATATTCCATAGTTCATTTAAATATTCTTCCATTGATGGACATGTAAACATTTAGCAATGTGGTTTTTTTTTTTTTTACTATTTCACAGAATGCTAAAATTAACATTGCTGTATATATATTTTGGTACTATGTACCAGAATTTCTGTAGCACAGATTCCTAACAGCGAAAATGGTCTGGTGAGTCAAAAATATATATGCATACTTGTATAGAACTTTAATAGATGTTGCCATATTGCCCTCTCAAAATGCTTTACCAATTTACAAAGTGCACATTGTGTAAACAAGGAATAAGTATGTCCATTTTCCTGCACTAGATATTGTCCTATTTAATTTTTACCATCCTGATGAGTGAAAAGTTATATGTCATTGTTGTTTTCGTTTGCATTTCCCTGCAATATCTTTTCATGTTTGTTGACTATTTTTTCTTCTGTGAATTGTCCATCTGTATTCTATAATTTTTCTACTAGATGCTTGTATGTTTAAAAAAAGTTTTATGGGGCTGGCCAAGTGGCTCAGTTGGTTCAGAGCTCACTCAAGAGTGTGAGCTCTGAGCAACAGCAGTTTGATACCTGGCCTGAGCTGAGCTGCCACTGAGCTGCCAACAGGTAGCAGGATGGCTCAGCTAAAAAAAAAAAAAAAAAAAATTATGAATTCTTTACATATTTTAGATAGTAATCCTTTGTCTATAATACATGTTGAAAATATTTTGCCTAATCCATTGTATGATTAATTTGGCTTTTTATAGTGTTGTTCATCATTTAAAAGTGTGTAAATGTTATGAAGTCAAATATGTCAGTTTTTTCCTTATGATTTTTGGACTCAGGGAGTCAGTCTCCATACCAAAATTATACAATCGCCCCATATTTTTATAATACATTTAAAATTTTCATTTCTGTCTATTTCTTCTAAATCCAGCTCCAATTCATCTTTTTAGTATGGTGTGTGATAGAAAAGAAGTCACTTCGCAGTTCAAAATTACAATTAGTGGAGATTCTGAGCCATATTAAAATGATTATATTATATTAATAGTCTCTCAGGTTAAAAAAGCAGAGAAAAGAGAAATCGTTTTAGAAAGAAAGACTTTCATATAAACTGCTTGAAGATTGGGGTTCTTGAAGATAGACAATTCAGCTCTGAAGAATGATACATGGCCCTACCCGATTAATATGGTTTTGCTGAAAATTCCTTAAGCGAGGCAACACATTTGTCAGGTCACCAAGTAAACCTCAGGTCATCCCCTCATTCATTCCAATGACATTTCTCAAACCAAAAAAAGAAGACACTCCATTTAAGGAAAGACAAGGAAGATCAAAAGAAAGTAGAACACTCCAAAGTCTATTGTACACAAATTACCGTATTCGAGATACAGTGTTCCGGAGCCCAACTATGTAGAACAAAATGTTGGCGTCAGTGTTGCTGTAGATGCTGTTGATGGCAGCCATGGCGGCGCCCATTCTGCCGGCTGCTGCACAAATCACCACAGGAATCTCATCTTCCAGTTCCTCGGGAGTCTCGGAGTCATCATCTGGAAACACCAAAATCAGTGTCTTGGGACATGAAGGAATGTCACAGTACAGCCAGTTTAACTTGTCTTCCACACTCCTGGGGGAAGATAGCATAGTGTGGAAGACACTGCCAAATGTTCTCCAACACCTACCTATTCTCTTCCTCTCCCCTTAGAAGTAGAACGCTGGAATTTTAGCTGGCAAATACAGCCAACCTCTGATAATATTTTTTCCAGACTCCTTTGCAGCTCTATGTGATTGAGTTCTGACCAGAAGGATGTTAGTGCAAGTAATGTGTGCAACTACTGGGTTTGCTTTGATAAGGAATGTGCTTATTCTCCCCTTTTCTTTTACCCCTTCCCCTTGGCTGAATGATGATATGATGACAGGAGCTGGAGCAGCCATCTTGGACCAAGAGATGGGCACTACCTGTTGAGGACACCAAAACCATACGATAGAACGAATGTTGGTTTGGATGACTGTGGAACTGACACATCAGACTTTCACTTGAGAGAGAAAATAAACTTCTATTTTGCTTAAGTCACTATTACTTTGGCACTTTCTTTTTCTTTTTTTTTTAAGATTTTTATTGGGGAATTGGGGGATGGCAACAGCGCTGGGGAATTGGGGGAAGGGAAACAGACGAGTTGCTGTCCTTTTGTTCTTCAGTCTAGTTGTGGAGGACGTTGCTTCACTGGCCCAAGGTGGCACCATCATTGCACTCTTCCCCGGGCGAGGCAGATCAGTCACCGGCTTCTGGACGGCCGCTCACTGCGGCTGCTGGCCGCTCACGCTGGCTGCTGGCTACACACGGTAGC